GGGGGGGGGGGGGTGTTGGGAATGTTATCAATGTTTTAGTGTTTTTTTTCTGTTGCGTGAGTATGTTCTATTTCTTTTGTTTCAGTAGAAAACGTCCTTTACTTATAAAGGCGTATTTCCTTTTTTCTCTTTTCTTAGTTTGGCTTAATTGCTAATTAGGTCACGTGCCCTTTTTACATTGGTCATTATGGGATGCTAGCTCAACTGTATAAGTTGATCAACGTCGCCTTCATTCTGTAATTTTTGCTTTGAAGAAATAACAGAGAAAATTTTCCCAAATTAGATCTTGAGCTTCTAAGCTTTACAAGCTAGCTGATAGCTGATAAGCTAGTTTATAGTTTATATGTAATTTTTGAACTTATAGCTTATAACTTATGACTTATAGCTGAAAAGCTAGCTTATATGATAAAAGTGTTTGGTACAATTAGCTGATAAACTAGCTGGAATAAAAAATTCAACTAGCTTATTTGAAAAGCTACCTAAACAAGCTTATCAAATAAGCTTGAGCTTTTTAAATAAACTCGTCCTACCAAACGGGGCTTATTTAAATACAAGAAATTTATAAGCTAACCAAATAAGCTATAAGCTAACTTATTTGGTTTACCAAACATAGCCTAATTCATAGTACGACTCAATATATATAATTTTGCTCTATCCTTTTATAGAACTTTTATGAATGTTTTTGTTAGAAATTACTTCAGGTTAATAATAATCTTGAATTAGACAATTAACAATTGTTGAAGGGTGAAGTTACTAAACAATGAATATGTTCCTTTACCAGGAATATTGTTGCAGAATTAATGAGAATGAATGACCTTGTAAGGAAAGACAAGAATACAAACCCATCAAGTTTTTCCTTCATTCAGACTTCATTATACATAAAGCATTTTGCCACATACATATTTGTTGCTTTTAAGTTTTAAGAATTCCCAACTAATTAGTAGTAAATCAAGTTCTTTATTCATAGTTGGGATATTCATTATAAAATTTAGTTTGAGCTCTTTTAATTGTGGATATAAAACTTTGTTTTAAAAAGAGAGAGAGATAGCCCCCAGGGCATGAGGACAACTGGTCGAAGGGGGAGGGTGAAACTCCCTGTGAAGCCGAAGGTCAGGGGTTCGATCCTGACTATCGTGGAAATGGGTTGGGGCTCCCTATTTTCCCCAAAGGATTAGTCCCACCCTCTGGTGGTGGAAAGTTGGCCTGTTGGCTTTGACCCATATGGACTCATTCTCCCGACCGCTGGTCGGTCTTCCTAGGTGGGCCGAATGATGGCTTGGGCTCGGGACCGATATCCTGAATGAACGTGGGGATACCTCTGAGTAGAGAGAGAGAGAGAGAGAGCTCAACCGTGCTTACCAAAATCATTGAATCAAGCATTCTCACATTAATGTATGTTGATCGAACTATTAAAGTCCTATTGATTTAGTACTGCCCGAATTTTTGAGTTCAAACATTAAAAAGGTATTGCATAATTTTAAGTTGAAGAGCAATTTCTTGAGCCTTGAGGATTTTTATACAAGAACTCTGGACGAGCCTAGAAAAATCGATTAGCGTTAGTGATGTAGAACGTGATACGAATGGGAAAAGAATGAGATACTCTCTCGATGAATTCACAAAATTTGATAAATTTTCAATTTCCCAAAAAACTAAAAACCACGTCTAATGCACTGCAGATAAATAAAAAGAAAGAGTCTTACTGCTAGTATCTTGCTACACAAGATGTAAGATATTTATTTAATTGTTCCTAATAGATATAGAAATAACAAATGGAAAAATATTAATAAATACCTTAAACCCGAAGCCGGTCGTATTTATTCAAATATGCAATGGCGGTCTCGTCTCCATCAGTTAGCAAGATAGTTCTTGGTTGTTTGTCTATCTGTTTGTTTGTTTCTTGTTTGTGTAGTGTGTTTAAGCAACCAAATCAAAACTCTTATTAATAATTAAAACCTTAAACTGCAGATTAAGATGATGAGTCGTGGTTGGAATTTTGGGGAACAATGCTACATGCATATATAACTAGCTTATGTTAAAACATGTTTATCAAATTAATGATAACTATTTAACCTTGTGCTCTTATTGTAATGTCTCTATTGATAAACTAGTACAATACCCGTGCGATGCACGGGAACATTTGCTACCTACTTACCACTTAGGAGATATTTTTGTATTTAAATTGTCTCATAACATTAAAAATATCATGAAAATGAAATTTATATGTTATTGAACACTTTCTTATGTACAACACTCTTGATTTGATTATTTGACACGTAAAGTACTACATGGATGCTCGAATTATATTTGAAATTGCGTATTATTAGTTATTAGTTAACAAATTACGCTTTTTTGAAAACAAAAAAATTAAGGGATCTTACTTATCAAACAAAATTATAGTAGTTCTTTTAGAGATTTTCATGCTTTTTTTTTAATTTAATTCAAAATTTTGATTAAGAAAAATGAAAATAATCATTAGTTTTTTTAAAAATGAAATCGATTTTCTTACCAATAAGCCTATTTTTTACCAAACAAAATGATCTGAATAGTTGGTTAAAACAAAGTGAAAAGAATCATCAATTTTTTCCTAAATATAGTTATTGGTTGTCTGTCTATCCGATTGTTTGTTTCTTGTTTGTGTAGTGTGTTTAAGCAACCAAATCAAAACTCTTATTAATAATTAAAACCTTAAACTGTAGATTAAGATGAGTCGTGGTTGGAATTTTGGGAACAATGCTACATGCATATATAACTAGCTTATGTTAATACATGTTTATCGAATTAATGATAACTATTTAGCCTTGTGCTCTTATTGTAATGTCTCTATTGATAAATACAATATATCGTTTATGAAAAAAAAAAAATCAATGATAACTGTTTTTATTGAGATTTTACAGTAGGAATTACACTATCTTAAAAATTAGCACCCTTATTAAACTTCCTACTTCTTTCTTTAATTATATTAACATCACTAATGTGTGCATGCCACATAGAGACTGTGTATATATATACATCTATATATTACACTAACGTTTCTTTATATTGTGAATAATATAGTTAAGAAATATCAATTTTATTTAAATGGTAAAATAAAATGCCAGCCAACCTACTTAAAGATAAGTTGATTTAGGATTAGTTAATATAAAAAAGCAAATAAATTTGTTTGACAAAATGGATTTATCTGTTCTTTTCTTGTTCAATATTATGATTATTATTATTATTATCTCTCTTTAAAATCAATTATTATAATTAATTATAATTATAATCTACAAAAAGCAAGAGTAATGTACAACATCCAAAGCAGCTAGTACTAATGTACTATTGCTTCTGGACCGCACAGTCGCACACTCGAGCTTTCAGAGCACCACCAACTATCTGTCATCCCATATTCCCGTTGATTGTTTTCTTCCTCGCAAAACGATGTCGGATCACAAGAAGGCCACCATCATTGACGGCAAGGCAGTCGCCCAAACAATCCGATCCGAAATCGCCGACGAAGTCCTCCGCCTGTCCGATACTTACGGCAAGGTCTCTCTTTAATTACTTTCGATCTCAAAAAAAAAAAAAAAAAAGCGATTAATCGATTTCCCTTTATTTAACTGAAAGCAACATTTTGTTTTGAAAGATGATTGAGAATTTTTTTTGTTAATGTACTTGTAGAACTTCAGTTGATGTAGCCAGTATCTTTGCATTGTGGCTTTGCATTCATTTCAGGTGCCTGGTCTAGCGGTGGTTATTGTGGGGCAAAGGAAAGATTCACAGAGCTATGTCAATATGAAAAGGAAAGCATGTGCTGAAGTTGGTATCAATTCCATTGATTTGGACCTTCCTGAGGAAGTATCTGAATCTGAGTTGATATCCAAAGTCCATGAGCTGAATGTGAATCCCAATGTTCATGGTTTGTTGAAATTCTAATTTTATCGGAGTATGCTTTTGATTTATTCTCCGCTGCTTTATCTTGATATGATTGTCTTAAAATCCTTTGGCATTTGTTTATAGTGCAAGTTAGATTGTTCCTGTGTTCTTTTTATCATTATGCTCATTGCTGTACTTGAAGGCATCTCATCTATTCTCACTACTATCTCGTAGATTTCACTTTACAGATGGCTTGATGAGTTATACTGTGGTTAATCTTGTTGTTGCATTGAGTAGGATATCGTGATGCTAACAAATACTTCAGATCGACTATGTTTGGAGTATGTGTTTTTTGTTCTTATGATCTATAAAATGCAATAAAACTGGAAAACTGAGGTATTACATGTATGGTCGTTTCAGGTATACTGGTACAGCTACCGTTACCTAAACATATAAATGAGGAGAAAATATTGAGTGAAATATCACTCGAAAAGGATGTCGATGGATTTCATCCTCTCAACATTGGCAAATTGGCAATGAAAGGCAGAGATCCATTGTTCGTCCCCTGTACGCCAAAAGTAATTTATATGTTCATGCTATGTCGAGACCTTCTATTGCTTTTACTATTTCTTGAATATTGATTGGCCCATTTGTAATAAACAGGGCTGTATCGAGCTTCTAACCCGAAGTGGCGTGTGTATTAAGGGAAAGAATGCGGTCGTTGTGGGTCGAAGTAACATAGTCGGTTTACCAGTCTCACTGCTTCTTCTGAAGGAAGATGCCACAGTTACTGTAGTCCATTCTCGTACCAAAGAACCAGAGAGCATCATTCGTAATGCCGACATTATTATTGCTGCTGCAGGACAAGCAATGATGGTAATGAGATGAAATCATAACCCTGTTGCTTTTTTCCCCCTCGGCACAGCTTTATGTGTGTTCCAGTAATCTACATAGGATCAACATTTGTTTCTATATTCTACACAACACACCATGAAGGGGGTAATTTTCTAGCTAAAAGCAATTCAGGTGTTTGTGAAATATTATCCATATGAGGCTGCCTAAACCCTTGGCTTGAATTTTGGTAGTGCTCATAAGTTTATATCGACTATGTTTATGAATTCATGATGAGAAGCCATGTTATTGTGTGGTTTTCAGATAAAGGGCAGTTGGATTAAGCCTGGTGCTGCTGTAATTGATGTGGGAACGAATGCGGTAGATGATCCAAGTAAGAAGTCTGGTTATAGGCTGGTTGGGGATGTTGACTTTCAGGAAGCATGTAAGGTAGCCGGATGTATAACTCCAGTTCCTGGTGGTGTTGGGCCCATGACTGTTGCCATGCTGTTAAAGAATACCTTGGATGGTGCTAAGAGAGTGATAGAGCATTAAAAAAACTCTCGTTTAGTTTTTAGCATGAATAAAATAGTACTATTACTTGCAGTTTATCGACTTTTGAGGATATCAATGGACATGGTAATGATAAATGTATGAGTTTATGTAATCGATTCTCCATGTCACCAAAAGAAACTTACGACGGTCAAACGTACAGAGCAAATGGTGATAAAGAATGATGCTTAAATGAAGATGGGCAAAAAAATTATGAAACCATGGCGAAGAACGGAACCGGTAGGACTTCCCTGCAAGTAAGAAATAAATTTGTCCAGAGAGCTTAGTGAACACATTTAACCAACAGAGTCTAGTTTGTGATACATAAAGAATAAATGAAAATTTTTACCCACAGAGTCTAGTTCGTGATACATAAAGAATAAATGAAAACTAACAGACATGTGCAGTCAATGCCAACTATCTTTCAGATATTACGATTATCCACATGATACTTGTTGCAGTTTTTCAAAATGCACCCCCACAACAAAGGTGTTTATGTGTGTTCCAGTAACATATTTAGGATTCATCACATGAGGTTTTGGTCTAATAACCAAGCACAACGTTTCGTTTCTATATTCTACAAAATACACCCTGCAGGGGCTTTCTAACTAAATGCAATTCAGGTGTTTGTAAAATATCATCCATATGAGGCAGCCTAAACCCTTGGCTTGAGTGTTGGTAGTGCTCACGAGTTTATATCGACTGTGTTTATGAATTCATGATGAGAAGACCTGTTATTGTGTGGTTTTCAGATAAAGGGCAGCTGGATTAAGCCTGGTGCTGCGGTAATTGATGTGGGAACCAATGCGGTAGATGATCCCAAGTAAGAAGTCTGGTTATAGGCTGGTTGGGGATGCTGACTTTCAGGAAGTATGTAAGGTAGTCGGATGTATAACTCCAGTTCCTGGTGGTGTTGGCCCATGACTGTTGCCATGCTGTTAAAGAATACCTTGGATGGTGCTAAGAGAGTGATAGAGCATTAAAAAACTCTCTCATTTTGTTTTTAGCATGAATAAAATTGTAGTA